CATGCTGCCCACAAAAATATTTTTTCGGCCACCTGGAAAAGATTCATCCCTTACGAAAGTTAATTAATTGAATGAAAATTACACTGACATACAGGAACAAAATAATTCAAAATTATGATTGAAAAACTGCTTATTCTCTCAATAAAATTCGCAGAATACAATCGTGGAAACTTCAGTACCAACCGTCGCACAAAAAATCCCCGATGATTTGGCCTATAACCAAATCATGGTTATTGGGTGCCTTGGCCAATTTATACTGTTATAGGTCTGTGATAAAAATATCACTGATAATTGAATACTCGGAAAATTGAATCGAGCAAGCAAAAAAAAAAACATGCATGAGCTAACTTATTTCTGTAATTTTCTCAAAAATCTTAAACCCAAGTGTGTCAAACAGGACTGTTAATCAATCAGAGGAAATTGAGGCGGCCCATACAAGTTAAAATTAAAAGGTTTGCAGACGGCTTCGTTTCATTTCAATGAATGAAAATATGGGCTCAATGCAAGGGAGTTATTCAGAGAATGGCATTTTTACAGTCAAATAAATACGTATCGCAGTGGAAAATTATAAATAATAGACCAAGGAAAAAAATAATCGTACGTCGAGTTTGAAACTCAGGGATTTTTCTCAAGTTTGAAAAATTCAAAAATATCTCGCTTGAAGGTTCGGACGCACGAGACATGCTAAACATTTTATACGGTAAGTAAAAGGAGAGGAAAATATTTCACAAATACTGTTCAGTAACAGGACAAATATACGTTTTTCAGTCCGTCCATTTTTGTATTTGAAGCGGAATTGCATGTACAGTACATAAATTCGGCGAATCAGTCACAGCCATTTCGAAAGGTATAAAAATGCGGTCGTGATGGCACGCACAGTTTTTTTTTTTTTTTTAGAATTTAGAAAAATCCGAAAAACTGTCGTAATAAGCCCAGTTAAAAAATAAAAATAAAAAGTTGCCAAAAATCGAATACCTGAGAGCCCCGCTGAAGAGACAAGCCAAGAAAAGTCCTGGTAGTCCATAAATTGCAGAGAGCTCGTTAAGCACGTAGTATGGAACGATTTCGTCCGGCCTCTTGATCACGCCTGCTTTCAGTGGGTCACAGTGAGCGTAAAAGGCGAATATCGAAATTCCGGCGAGGATCGACATCCAAACAGCAATAATTGACCCAGGAGCATTCAGCAAAATTGACCTTTCGAAGTAGATCGCTATTCGTGAGTCGCCAAATTTATTCGCTTACGAATAATTCATAGAAAAAAATAAGCGAATAAGCTTGCTTAATGCTGCGGAAAAGGTGTAACTGTAAAATGCCAACGCATTTTTCGCACTCGTGTTCCCTACCGTGCTCCGGAAGGTTTTAAGCTGAAGAGTTCAAAAATACGTTTTATTGAAATCAAACAAAAAGCGTATCTACTTCTGAATATCAGTCACAGTTGGTTTTTAATCGACGCAACTTTTTAATATCATACTTCGCTTCGGACTTCGTATAATTGGCCTTCTAAACTTCTTAACCCTCCATTATCTTAAAAAAAAAAAAAAAAAAAAAACTCGTATGCAGTATAAAAATTCAAAACCTTCCCTTAGTCGTGGATGAAGCTATAATATGCCTGATGCGTTTTGAAAAAATCTTAAAATCGCACATTATTGTCACATTGTTAGCTTTGCGATGCGCATTGCAATGTCAGCAAATCGCTCGTGTACTGACTGATGAATAAAAAGTTCAATGCTGCTGTAAGAGGGTTTATTAACGCCTCAAAAATTATTCTATTCAATCGTTACGGACATATACAGGTAAATGAAGTATTTCTGATTGAGAATACCGACTTGATATCCCGTACATCAAGTCATCGCCGAATAACAAGGAATTTGAATGAGCGAAAGCACGTGATCACCGATAAGAAATAAAACGAAGCATTTTTTTGCTAGGATTAGTGCTTAATCATCATTATAATCGCAGAGTATCTAAGATTACTGAGGAAGAGAAAAACGATATAAAGTGATTAGGGAAGTCATCGACGACAAAGACGATTGAGAAACAAATCACAAATGGAATCAATGAGTGAGTCTCAACCGAAACGAACTAACTCTGTCTTGCAAAAAAGCATTGCCATCAACACTTTGCAAACCTCTGCGCTGCTTCGACCGTAGGCAGACTGTTGTAGCGCTGGAACGAAGCGTGATTCGTTCCGTGCACTCCGACCCACAAAACAATCGAATTGCCCAGGATCATCCAAGTCGTGTGTCTCATGTACGGGTCGAATGAAAATCTGCAACATTTTCCATACGTCTGACATTTGCGTGAAAAACAAAAGGCGACATTAATTACAGAGATTATTCCATAGTGTTTCGCCATCAGGCTTTCGAAATTAACGACACAAGTTTTCGATTCAGAATCACATCAGTAGAAAAAACCTCAGTTTTTTTTTTTACTGATTTCCATCTCCGGCAAATTTAGCATCATTAGCAAAATTTGCAAGTTCCTAAGTCGCCTAAAAAAAGAGCGTAAGCTTAAGCTAAAAGCTTACACCCTGAACCAAAATAGTGACTTGTGCTAAAAGTTAAATAACGAGCTTTATAAAGCGTCATGACATGAAGGTCTGTCGGCCTTTGAATTTAAAAATTAAATTTGACTGATAAACTTTATATCTTTAATCTATTAATGCCCTCCACGTCAAAGACGAACAGTGAATAATAATTTAAACAGAAAACGATCTGGCGAAGATTTTACTCGATGTAGCCCAACCGACCACTCCCAAGAATAAGATAAAAAAGAATGACAAAAACTTATGAATCAACCATCGTATGTTCCAGTGTTCCCAACCTTTTTGGGTCCGCGGATCGGTGAAGTAGGGCTAAATATTTTCGCGGACTGACAGACAATTTTACAGATATTCAACAAACCTGAGAGCATTTTTTAAATGAAAAAGTGAAAAAATTCCCTCTTGCACATCCTATACTTTTTTGAATGAAACAGAAGATACCATAGTTTGGAAATTATTGTGAGACCTAGCTGCTAACTGCGAAAAAAAGTATTCTGTCACTTTTTAAAAACTGAATTGAATTGAATTGAACAGCAAGCTTTATTTTCCGCTTTTCAGTGTTCACAAGGTTCAAGAAACATTCCCGCATCCAAACCAGCATTGCTTTTTTTTAAATCAAAGCACTGATGCACAAGACTCGTGTTTGTAGGATCAAATTGCATCTTCATGCACTGTACTTTCCTGTTTGGTAATGTTGCAAAGTGAATGCCCTGGAAACTCCACAAAAAATATTGGCTCATGTCTGAATAAGTGAGCACGCAGGTCTTGGAAAGGAAAATGAGTAAAGACAAAAGGGAAAAAAAATATATTTTATAATAAGGAGCCAAATGCAAAATGAAAACTGAACTCAGAAGGAATGCTAAGAATATTATTCCAGTTATAACTTTGTAAATGTATTTTCGTATTTGCTCCTCTTCTTGGATTTTGTGTATAGACAATAAAGACGACTTTCGTTTTCTTCAGTGTATGCATACTTCATCCATGTGCAAAGTACTGTACTCGAATTTCTCGCGGACCGGTCCGCGGACCACTGGTTCGGGAACACTGGCATTTTCTACTCAAAAATTAAAAAATTAATTTGTAAGAAAGGAAGAAGATAAAAAAAAAAGATGGTATGCACCGACTCTCACTCGAAAACAGAAGTTCTCGAGAACTCATGCGCGATCTCAAGCACTCTCCCCAGGCCGCCGACGTGAAAGCATCCGCTGACAATTATCGCAATCATCCCCATGACCATGACTATCATTTGGAACACATCAGTCCAAATTACTGCTCTCAATCCGCCCTGAAACATGTACAAAAACAAGAGGAAAGTCCCCCGGAAAAAAATAATACTGTAATTCAGCAAGAAGCCTCCGTAAAAACGCAACAATGTGCTTCATCGCGAAGAACAAAATTTTCTGCACCAGCGAATTTTGTTCTTCGCGTATTTCCCCACAACACAGCAAGAATTTCCAATTTTTTTTCCGGAATCAACAGGGACGACGACGGATAAGGAAAGCTATTCGAAGATACCTTCGAGCGACCGTGAAAACTTGGCGGAAAGTTGGGTTAAATATACATTTTTTTTTTTAAGACAGGTCAGTTTTATTGCAACATGAGAGAGCTTCATGCTCAACCTCTGCTGCGTCAGGTTGTTGAATTCAAGCTTCAGTTCACAAGGTCAATTTTTGACAAAGAACGGTATAAATGCGTGCGTCATTCATTGCGTATGCTTGATACTTTATAACCAATATGATCGTATACCTTATCAAATATGGTTACAAAATGTGTGCAATTTCCAATGTACAGTACAGTACAATAAGTGTGAAGTATTTTAAGCCTTTTAGGAATTTGTCTAGGTATGCGAGTATAAAAATCATGCAACATTTAATTTTCGAGGCTTTTTTCGTAACTCGATTTCACACAATAAGATAATGACTATGTATAGATGGATTACGTAGGCATAACGCACAGCGGAATCCTCTTCTGTTTGTCTTTTCGGAAAATTCAGAACCAGGAAATATTTCTCAATATACGGAGCCTATGTATAATTATCACGAGAATGATTCTTTATGCATCTACACCAGCTAGCAGACTTATGAAAAAGGACTGAGTAATTTATCAAGAAGATTAGCAGATTGCTGAAAATTTACTGAATTCAATCAGCTGCTGTTTTTTTGAATGAAAAACAAGTAAAACTTTTACATTATACCGTACAGTAGATCAAATTTGAGTCTAGAAACGTCACTCTACAGTTCATTTTTATATTACTTATTCGATCCAAAAGAACTCATTGATTTAGCAGATTTACTAAAGTTTTAAAGGATGAGTGTGTTTCATGGCGCTCCCGGAGGATTTGTCCCTGATGAACTCGGACCCAGGAAAATTGGTCCTTGGGACTGGGTAGAAATGGAACCTGCAACAATCCGTCCTGCAGGGGTAGGTGGGTTTTTTTTGGTCAATTGGTGGGGCTAGCGGAAATGGAGTGATGATCAATATTGTCAATATGAGGGATTTCCCAGGTATTCCAGCAGGGCTTTTTCCCCCGCAAAACGATGAAAATGATTTTTGATGCAAAAGCAAGCAGAACTTTTCTGGCCTTTGTATTGTGTAAACGGTTTGGAATAGCGGGATAATTTTTCTGCGAAAAAGGCTGCTTGGATACCTGATGGGATAATATTAAAAAGAATCTGTTTTGCGTTTTCAGGTTTGTGCGCTGCACATCTCCATTTGTGCACATACTGACCATCAGGGCATCACTCCCTCTCCAGTTGCCCTGCCAAATATCCAATTGCTCCACCTCCATGTCCTTTTGGTAGACGCAATGCGTCCATACCTTATGAAATGCTCAAGATAGAGCTAAAGACTACTATTATAATAATATACAGTCCGCATTACTAATACAGTACAGAGTGCAGTAATGCGATACTGTAATACAGCAATGTATTTATCGATTTTTAGCATTTTGTAGCAGAGATATCTTTTTTACGTCCATTGTATGAACTTCGGGTCGAGGATTTGTGATTTTAATTCATGTCCAAGTCAAACTCACGATCACAGTATAGACGGTGCAAACGCCGCCAGCAAGTAAAATGCCGATCCATTGCGGGAACTCCGCAGCCGAAGAAATCGCCAAAACGGGCGCGTAAAGAGCGACACCCATGTACAACAAGTTGAACACGCCGTACAAAGCTACGCCCATGATCCGCACGAAGCGCGATCGGTACCGTCTCTCCAGGTACTGTTCGGAAAAGGAAATATTCCGCTCTCTTTCACAAATGAAAATTGATACCGGTATAACACTCCCAGAATCGTATACATAAAAAATTCTTCTTTCACCGATCCCGAATGTAAGAATAAAAAAAATCACCTCGAAAAGGCTCGACATCCGAAGGTTGTACATCAGAGGGATGACGAGGTACGCTGAAATCAGGATACCTAGTGCCGCACCTAGCGGCTGTAAAGCCCATTGACTCCCATTGGCGTAAACCTCCGCCGGTACACCTGTGAAAGGCCATTCCCACGCCCCGAAAAAGAAGGCTGTGATCGTGACTACCAAAGCCCCTTTTCAGAAGGATCAAATGATTTCTCTCAACCTTCCATGTTCCATCCGACTCAGTCCTTCAAACACACGGAGGTCCCGAGACGAAGGAGACACTGCTTCAGATGTGCCCCAAAGATACGAAAATGGGTTTAATGGCGGGTGGCTGGCCCGACTATTTTATTACATGCTTACATTATGACGGGCACACAGAGTAGTTCCAGAAGTGCAGAGAAAGTTGTTCGAAAGAGTTTGTATATATGCACCATCATCAGGAAAGCATTTCTTTACAGCTATAATATCCTGATTCATCTCCAAGAATATAGGAGTATACAGCATCAATATTTTCTTTAAGCTTGCCAAAATTTAAAGTCTGTGTCAAGGTTTACCCCGGCAGAAAATTTACTGCAATACCCGGGTTATTTACTGCATGATTCAACTTTATTAGTGAAGTATAATTCAAAAAATCTGAATTCAATACAATAATTCAGAATATAATTTCCTGGAACACAAGAAGTGACGTCCGATTCGTGCGTGCAGTTCAACTTATTCTCATTTCTTGACGCAGTTTTGCATGCAAAATTATATACAAGATAGAGCAGTTCAGATTTTAGCTGATGTGGATCAGATTACCTACGAAATGGCTCAATTGTTTCCTGTATTTATTAAATTTTTAAAAATATATATCCACGCGCAATATTGCATTCGTGTGGATAATTGGGAAACAATTAATTGACCTCCAGTGCATCAATCAGTACCCCTTTCATACATACGTGACTTTATATTTGATTACCTTCCTGAATTTCCTGCGATTTCTCTGTGCAACCAAATGCATCAAAGAATCAATAGAAAAATTCTTCAGGGATTCCTCAGAATCATCAGTGGTTAAAAATAGTTTTTTTTTAAGTTACAAGAGTTAAGATTTCAAGCGGAAAAAAGTGGAATTGGCAATTGTAAAATGCTTGAATTCATCGGCCAAGAGGGCTGCACGAATGTGCTAAAACAGTTCAGAATATGTTTTAAATTGTGAAAAAAAGATACAGTTGAAGATGGAATTGATGAACAATCGGTAGCTTTTTTTTTCATGGATCTATGGAAGCTACAGTTCAGTTCCCAAATTGTCTGGAAAAATATTGAACGACAAATACAATAATTCTTCGTTCATGTTTATTACTGTTTATAAATTAAAAGACGATTATTTCATCGATGAAATCAACTATGATATTTTTTTCAAGTCAAGGTTCCTTAAATTCGCAAGCAATTCAAGGTCATACAGCTTCATGATGGAAAATGACAGCCATGAAGTGTTTTAAGGAAATACAGTATTGTAAATGAAAACCCGCAATTAAACAGCCTAGTCTGAAAAGCATTCCGCAAAATAACCTTGAATTTCACAGCGTCAGAGTTGACACTGAGAGACATCAAGTGTGTTTTTAATGAAGAATTGATGAAGACACTCGAAGAAGTATTACAGAAAAAATGGAAAGTGTTCATAAGAAATAACAGAATCGCTCTTTGAAAAGCTCGGTGAAGTTCGGTAAGTTATTTAGAGGAGAGGAAGTGACAGAAGAAATGCGATGAATGAGAAATTCAAGGAGGTGTTCAATTTATGGTACTTCCTTTCATTTGAAAATCGTGACAGACAAATTATTACCAGGCAGGTTCGCAACAGGAAAAAACTTTCGCTAAATTCAAGCTTTTTGCAAAAAAAACGAAGGAGAAAAGCTCGACAGAAAAGAAGGCAATTTCTGATGAATGTGCAAATGCGTGAGTTTTTATGGCGTACACTTGGAACATCATATAAAAAAGATAGTGGCTTCGGAAAAAATCACGAGAAAATTCGTGTAATTACTGTACTTTACTTGTGTGCAAGCGAACTGCTCGAAACATGTTGTAAACTTTAATCGTCGTGAAATCATGTGCAGTATGTGTAAGGTTTTCCTAGGTAAATATCGTCAGCTAAAAGTGAAGTTTACAAGGACGAGGAGAGAGTACACGAGAAAGAGAAGACCCCAAAACGCATAAATTCCGAATCGAGAAAGAAAAAAAACCCCCAGCTGTTTTTCCTCTATATTCGCAATGCCTAAATTTACTTGATTGGTGGTATATGTGGTACTCAAGACTTGCATGTGTGGAAATATTTAATGAAAGATCACGTGGATAAAAAAAAAGTATTAAAATAAAACAGCTCGAGAAAAATAATGATCCACACATAACGGCGTGGAGAAAAAAGAGCACGAAAAAATGTCATTATCGGCAAGTATTCAAGTGCAAATATGTACTGTAATACACTGTACAAAAAGGCGTACCAATAATAATATCATCATTAATGTTTTCACAGTTCTGCGTCGAACATATGCTCATTGTAACACACGATCACCCTGGAAAAAATTGACCGATATAAACTACGAATCAACATCACCGTTATTATTCAAATAATTTTTGTGGAAAATCGGTTGAATCGTTCATACAGCTTTTAATATACAGTACTGCTAACAAAAACATCCGGCATTTCCCCATCAGATTAAGGGTATTACCTCAAAAGCAACACCCGAAACAGACCGTTTTCATGACTCACCGACGAGCGTGACGGCCGATAAATAAGTTGCCAATAACGACAACGTGATCGGCACCAATTTGACACCTTTAGCAGACGCTAAACTGTCCTCCGCAGACATTTTCGTACCAGTCACTGCCCCCCACACGCCGATCCCCAAGGCAATTATCAAAGAAAGTGCAAAAACGGCATAGTCAACCGGCGACAAGGTTTTCTTCGCTTCCATTCCCACCGGGTTTCTCTAGGTATTAAAAGCCTGAAAAAAACAAGTTTCACCAAATAAGAAGGGGAGAAAATAAAATCGCGAGCAACAAGAAAATAAATTGTCCCTGATAATGAAGCGAAACTTCGGAAATATTGAATGGTTCATAAAATGCTCACTGAATAAGATCAAAATCGTTGAGGTAAATCTCCATATAAAGGACCTTCCATCTGATTTCTGAATCAGTGAAATTCGACGGATAGATGAGCTTTCCAGAGCTGTTCATCTCGCAGACTCTAATGATAATGTTTTAATGCTTTTCATTCCATTTTCATCGTATTTATTGATGTTCTGCTCTTTTATCAATCGAATGTTGAAAAAATGGCTGATCTTTACTATATAGTTAAAATGCTGTACTCCAATGCGATACGATTTTTCTAGCTTCAATTAATCTTTCAAGCACTTGCTTGTTTAGGTTGAATCAGAATGTACGCATATCAAGCTGATTTCCATCGTGTTCTCTCTTTTTAAGGAACAAGGCTATACTGATATTGCGCAACTAAATGAATAAAAAATCTCGGCACACTTTCCTTGAACAGAAATTTGAAGCACTAGCTTTGACCCACACAGAAAAGGAACATAAATTTCGCAAAATCGGAACCTATATTCGCGCGGGCAATCAGTCCCAATGCCACACCTTTAAAACTTTTTTAAAGCCCATGTAACTTGAAAAATCGGGTACGGAGGAAATAAAATCGAAAAAAACCACGTATATGCGCTTTTCCCTATACAAGCTTTGTCACTGCGCACGTGCTGACGCCCATAATATAATAAGCTTTAATCACCTAAAAATATGCTTTCGATGTCAGAGAGCGGGAAACACATCAACTCCCAAAAAAAAGTGAGTCCTATATAGATTTTTCAAAACGGATCTCTCCCATATGTTCATCTATTTCAGCAGTATTCACTGATGCTGGGAACGAGTTCGGTTTGCTGTGTGCTGATAATGCATAGGAACAGAGTTCGCACACGTGGAGTTTTCATGCTAAAGTCAAAAAGGAAAACACTTGATGCACACAAATTCCCCCTGTCATTTAAAACAATTGATCGAATCTACCGACTTTATGTATAGTGAGACCCCCACATGCAGCCACCTATAGATCTGCAGACAATTCGACATAGGGACACTCATTCTCCCATAAAAATTAATAAAAAGGCCCATCATGAGGACACTGACTCGACATTAGGACATGTGATAAAATTGCAAATAAACTTCAGGCCAAATTACAAGAAACAGATATTTTTAACCCTAAAATTGATTTAAGAAAAGTTCTTGGGCATTTCTCTCACCAATTTACCATCCATTTAGCTAATTTAAAAAAATTACCTCCACCATAGAGGGACTTCCTTCTCTCTTTTTCACGTGAATGTTATTTTTACAGAGAATGCCAGCATTTCTATGTACTGTACAGAGGTATCAGTATTCAATTTCCCAAATGTCCATATTGCATTGAAATATATTGATTGAATCAGTTTAAAATTGGTAGACAATTTTCATTTTCATGGAATTATGGTGAGTATTTTGTAAATAAAACACCAATTAAAAATTATATAATGTAAGTCTAAGGGAAAATGAGACTCAACTTAGGGACGATTTGACTTAGGGACACTCTTGATGCACCAATTACGTCCGCATCTCAAGGTCTCACTGTATATGTACTGCTGTAAAGCAAGTTCAGCACTTGTACACCCGGTGCAGGTGAGGATCGAAGTGAGGAATCCTCGGACGATTATTACCTCAAAGCAGGTTGGATAGATACTCCGATATTGGGCGTGCACACGAATTTCATCTTTCATCACGCGCAGATGAAATTAAGAGTCAGTCTCACGTTTGGCTTGCAACAATGAAGGCCAGACAGCTTGTTTCGAGATCAAATTATCAGTATTTATCCAAGTACCACCAGGACCTTTCTTCTGGAAAATCAAGGCAGGGAATCGGGGTACCTGTGTTATATGGGTCAGCATAAAAAATAAAATAAAATCATGAAACCATTGGTGCCAGTCATACGTGAGTCTCTCTCTGTTTATTCGGTGAGATTTATGAACAGGAAATCCTGTCACCATTCCTTGTCACTATTATTCTTTATTTTATTTTATTCAATTACGATATTATTTCGTTAGAATGCATCACAGTATTATTTGGTGAAGTACAGTATATTGATTTTTCATCAATCGAAAACTGGGGTTTGTGTCCTATGCGGGGATAGGGCAAATTCCATGCAAAAAAAAATCAAGTATGGTGGGTGTCCTACTAGAAGATACGTAAAACTCAGGTAAATATTTTACAGTATATATACAGTACTTCATTCATGTAAAGCTCCCTTTTTGGACAGCCTATATACTTGCTTATAAACTTAAGACAATATATGGGTGATGAGATTTTATTTTTAGTGGGGGGATTTCCTAATGGTTTTTCTGAACAAAAATATTGCTGGGCCGTCTTTCCGGGCTGATTGCTAAATTATTATTTTTCAATGTTATTGACGACACACTTTTGAAAAAAAATGAACTGTCAGAAAATCATGCTGAGCTGCAAGGGATAGAAAACCAAGCTCTGAGGCAATCCTGAGACTTTTTCCAGGTGGATGAATTTTGCGACACGCTCATGAGATTTTCACATGTTATCACGAGAAAAACTTTTCATTTTCGTAACACATGGAGAAATGATTCAAAAGTGAGTTTTTTCTGCAAATCGAGGAAGAAAGCTCCTGAGCATGGCGAAGGTCTTCCTGAATCTAAAAAAAAAAAGCTGGCTTTCGTCTGATCAGGACTTGGTGGGAACTAAAAAAAAGGAAAACATTTTCCGAAAAATATTAGCTTGAGTTCTTGAAGCATTAAAAAAATAATAAATTGCGCCGATGCTGGTTCATATTTCTGGGTCAAAGTCGAATCAACTTACGATACTTGTTCGCCTCAACCTTGGCAGATCAAATGAGGTTTTGAACTCCATTCTTACCACCAGTCAAATAAAATTTTTAAAAAATGATAAAAAGACTGCGAAATCTCACGACGACGAAGACGTTGATGACATGTGTCCACATGGTACAAATAATAAATTTGACACGTTTCGAAGGTACACTAAAATGGGGAAAACGCTATGATGCACAAAGAACGAACTCGGATTTATTTTCGAGAGAAGGATTAATGGAGTTGCAAGGTCTGAAGCAACGCGCGGTGATTTCCGAGCGACTTATCCGCGCCGATTGAAAGCAGCCTGCCGGTGGATTTTCTTTTTAAATGTGCAGAGTGGGGTTGGTTCGGGAGAGATTTGAAAATTTGCCATCGCAGTGTTCATTCCGAAAGTTCGGCACGTACTTTGACAGCTTCCGAGTGCATATATAGCCAGACAGCCACCAACGAAACCGGTTTATTTTGGAAATAACAATTTTCTCCTGTTTTCTCCACGAAAATATTTGCCAAATGTAGAAGGACTCCTGACAGAACTGACATGTGAACAGCTACTCGTCTGCAATGACCTTCTGTTTTCAGTATTATCTCAGAAAAATGCTGCTTAAATATAAAAATAAATTAAAGTAAAAAAATACTTTTTATTTTAGTCAGACATTGCGCCAAGTGTCCATGACAAAAACCTATCGTACATATTTCCCCACATAACGAAAATAGTACATTCTTGAATGCATTTTGATGTGCAACCTTTTGGTAATGTAAACCATGAGTTATCTTGATGGACGCATAAAAATATTCAATATCCTCCAGGCTATCACAGAAATACCATAATAATACCATAAACCCACTGTGCATCGTAAAAATCGTGCGTTTTAGAAAGTTTTCAGCAGTACAAAATTGGAAACCTAACATTGACGTACAAAATTATATTAATCCCGCCAATTTCGTGATCTTGACTTTCTGAAATTCTAAAATTTCAAAGACAAGAATAGGTTAAACTATGCCCTTTCTTATTTTCCTCGAATTTTAGAAAATGCCAAAATTGTAGCCCAAAACTTACAAAATTTCAAGCCAAAACATTTTTATGGTGAAATAACTTTTTTATGTCATATTCTTCACCCTAAAAAATTGGGATGCGAAAAGTTTGTTTTACAAGTAAACTGTATTGAAAAGCATGGACGCAGTATAATAAACTTTAAAAATTCAGTATACTGAATTACATGGTTCAGACTGTTACTTTTAATTCAGTATTTAAATTTCGTTTCCCAAAAAGGTTTTATGTGATCTTTTTTGTTGTTGCTTGTATCAAAGTCAAATCACTGCCGAACTCTAGGACACATATACGTACACATGTGTCCAACGAAAGTTCAACAAAGATGCGGTCTCTGTTACGGGTTTGCTGAAAAAATACACCAATGATTCATATGCACATGCTTGTTTAATTCAACACTAATTTGACGTGGTAAATGAACACGGATGCACATCATTTCATGTGTCACAAACCATTTTACAATGACTCGAAGTCCCCGTTAAACCTGGATTACGCACTTCATTTCCAAATTTTAAAGTTTTACTTTACGACCAGAAACAAAGAAAGTAATATTATATGGAGAGATATAATGCTATAATGGAATAATGGACCCAAAGCATGTCCAATTATGCCATTCAAGGATACGTCGCCCAATTTTACCGGAACTATAAAATGTGATGTCAAGTTTAAAAAGTTTGGCTTTAACTGGGCCGGTCATCCGTACTCACAGTTTTCAACAAAGGAGATTAGGGATTATACTGTATAAGCTTTTCATTAATTATTGATTGCAAGAACAGCTAAGCTTGAAAAAATAGTTCAATTTTTCGTGAAAAAATGAAACGCGACGAACTAGATATAAGTACATTTAATCATTAATTAATCCTTCAAGTTTCCATTAGTTATCTTTAAATACATTTTTTGTAGTTCACGAGAACGGAGATTATTTAAAGCTGGCATTTGAAAGAAAAACCACCATTTTTCGCACACTTACGTAACACCTGTACAAAAGTGAAACCCCGCGATACGG